GTAAAACATTATATTGAATTACATTTTAGACGTAGAACATATGAAAAGACATTGCTACTGAGAAAAAAATCGCTCAGCTGAAACACCCTTTCGGTGCCTAACTGCCATGCCACCTGAAGGTTGCACGAGGCTGGGATACTGCCAGGTTGTCCAAGCCTAGACAGGGGAAGTCGGCTGGCAGAGGTCGGGTTCGAACCACTTGGGCCATCTCGCCCCTCTACTGAGAACAGTTTTACAATTTCCCATGATCCAAATGTGCGTACGTCACTTGGCTTGTTTGCTTCAACGGGACACTCAGTTGAATAGTCACTCATGTTGTTCGTTCTATTTCTGAGAGTATAACAAAAAAGTAGTTCGCTCATATACTACTTACTAGACTAGTCTCCTGCAGGCCCAAAACTCTCCTGGGCAAATAACGGGTTTCTCTTTTCTAAAAGAGTTTCTTTGTCAGACTACAATACGTGGTTCCACCTAGAGTTTACAGAAATATAATTCAGACTCTTGTGGACAGAACTGATCACTCAGGTTGCGCCAAGTATTTGAAAAGTAAGAGATACGATCAGGTGAGGCTACCAAGGCTGTTTTGATTATTGGAACTCTGTATAGACCACTTTTTCTAGTTGCTGGCTACAATAGTACTTGATCGATACAGCCTATGTGTCGCTTGTTCGTGCGTGTCTGATTTAAATCGAGTGAGCTTCCATGCCTCTCACCTTCTTACTGAAATGCAAGAAATCGAGGGATAGTCATACCATGAACTTCGCAGATTTATATCTGATGGAAAAGTAGAAAATGCAGCTTTAGGCGTCATTTTTGTGCGACACTTTCGTTTGAAGAATATAGTAAGCGAGAGATTAAACCGAGATTCCGTTAAGTCCCCGATTAATTAGTTAGCGTAATTAGTGTATTACGCGAGGGAATTATCGTCTCTACTCGGCACCTCAAATGATTCTTCAGGATACCCGTTTATCAAGCTTCTGGTCCTTTCAAATTACAACTCGGGTCCAAAAAAAGTCAGAAGGAATCCAGTAAAAAAGGATAGAACCTTATTTCAGTAACCCCGACCAACCTCAGCTAGTCGGATTCCACCTAAAATACAGGACCACATAGGAACCGGTCAAAGCTGTGCGCCTAAAACATCAACTGAAGATCACTATTTCCGTAGCGGAATCTACTGTACTGCCTCATAGACTGTTGAAGATTCGCTTCAGAATGAACTTGTTTCTATCAGAAATTTCGCCATATAGTCCGCTCTCGACAGCCATTTATGTTTGATCCACTGCGAGTAGCTGTTTATCACAAACCTTCAACTGTGACCGCCTCTCCCACCTCTCCATGTTGATTTCTGTTTGGCGGGAAACAATTAAAGGTAATGCGAGAGAAAGCTAGAAATCAACCAAGACGTCGAATGATTCCATCTTCCTTTCATCCACACCGCCGGTGCGCAAGAATACCTTGAAAACTCTAAAGTTGGCTAGTATGTACAAAATGCCCTCCCGAAGAGTGCGCACCTTCGAAATCGATCAGAATGGATAACTCCCGCCAGAGGGCTTGAAAGTGCATTTCCCTAGTATCTTTAAGTACAACTGTAGTGTGAAGGAAAATACATTGATGAGCCTTGCAATGTACTACTCATAAGGCTGCTGAAAATTCGTCGACAACCCACGACCAGTTTCGCCCTTTTGGGGGCTCATCAGGTAGGCGCAGTCCCCGGGTTTCCGTCAACCTTATGTTCTATTTGAAACCAAATTGCACGGAATCAGCGAATATACACTCATTTGCAAACTAATTTGGTTTTTTCGGGAGACTCACCTGGAACCCAGCTGAATCTCTCGTTTGTGATGTTCTCAGGCAAATGAGTGCATATTCGCTAACATTGATGAGCTGTTCTGCTGGTGTGCCAGTGGCATTATTCAGAATGCGTGACAGGATGACAAGCCGGCGCTGTTTGATGAGCTGTTCTGCTGGTGTGCCAGTGACATCATGCGGAATGCGTGACAGGGTGACAAACCAGCACTGCTATTTATCATCAGTCGGTTTGGTGAGTGAACTTGGGTAGGACAAAACAGTCGGGAAACAAACTGGTGAAAAGTTGAGGGATGGCAGTGATGAGTTCTCAGTAACTTTCGTAACGGGCTGTTCTTAACTTTTTATGAGTCTAGTTTGGTCCAACCCTTCACTGATTTCTGACCGACGTTTTTCTTCACTTTGGATCGAAGCCTCATCTGAGGGAATTCTTCGATGACCTTCCGTGGTCTCCCGAGAGCGCAGTGCCGCTCGGGAAGGACCATTTTTGGTCCATTCCCATGGCATCCATCGTGGTCAGCTTGAAAAGCATCCTTCTTTGGGATCAACAGCTCAACACATACAGTATCAGAAGTGGTCCCAGAATCTTTAGACTATTCATTTAAGCAGTGACTGCCGCTTATTGTGCACGGCCCAGTGCAAAAGAACATCTTATCGAAAGAGCAGAGTACCGAGATGTTTATGAACACGCAGTGTGGATGCTCAGTTGCCAACAGGGTGATCGGTTGGGCTACGTGCATTAGTCTCTATCCTCTAGCTAGTTTGTGCATCAAGCAACATCAGTGAGAAAGATTCACAGGGCAGTAAGATTATTTCCCCCTAAGAGGATGTGGGCTAAGCAAATTACGACTAATCACGTATCCAGTCAGTGCCCATATTACATCTTGCATACGAATACAGAGGAATACTATACATGGATGAGTGACCGCACGCGTGCGCGTGCAAATCTCTGGTGCGCAAAGTTCGCGCAGGAACAAGCCTTGACAAATGTGCTGTTTTTGATCAGATCACCCGATTTCATATTGTGTTCAACTCGAATACACAATATACACAAAATCACACTATGAATGATGCCTCTGGCGTCCGAAAACTTGGTACATTTTCACAGTTCCCTAATGAGACGTAACATCTCAAACAGGTGTGTGATATCATTTCTTTTCGCTCTTGAAAGTCTTGTTTTCAGTGAATTGTTACGCTTTACTCTAACGGAAAATGTGAGGCCATCTTCCTGTGTCCTAGCTAAAATTCTGTGACTATGTAAGCTATGACTCTGCGGCGCACCGGTTTTCTTGACCAATCTTATTCTTGTCCGTCTATTCCCAGTTAATGCGACTTGGGTGTAAATATATCTCGCCGGCGTTCCAGTTAACTTTCACCTCCGACGATTGATTTCCACCTGTACTGTTTACGTGTCTCGCTCGTATCATAGGTCTATGTGGAACCCGTATGAAGATCCACTGACAGGTACCTCAAGCTGGAATGGAGGTCACGAGCGTGTTTAATCGTCTAGGGTGGTTGAGAACGGAACAGAGCAGGATTCCTAAAGAGCTTTTATAAGTAGTTTACAGAAATTAGCGAATATACATTCAAGAAAACTAATTTGGTTTTTAGAGAGACTCACCTGGAACCCAGCTGAATCTCTCGTTTGTTAAGTTTTTAGGCAACTGAATGTGCTGCACCAGGCCGCCCCATGTTTCAGTGGCTACGATATTCGAGATATCGCGATAAATGTATACCTTTGTAATGTACTATTCATAAGGTTGCTGAAAATCCGTCGACAGCCCACGACCGGCTCCGCCCTTCTTGGGGCTCATCAGGTAGGCGCAGTCCACGGGTTTCCCTCAAGGTTATGTTCTACCTGAAACCACATTGCACGAAATTAGCGAATATGCACTCATTTGCAAACTAATTTGGTTTTTCGCAACCTGTATAAGTTTGGTTACTCAGCCGATCGTGGCCGAACGGTCAAGTTTTCACGGGTTCGACACACCGTAAAGTTTCGTGCGATGTGAACGGATGGGGAAAAAAGCAATGCAGCAATGGGATCTCCAACATCCCCGGTTTGGGCAAATATATTTATTGAAAAAAACTGAACAGAGAGCTTTAGTCACATTCCCATACCCAGTTAAGCTATTCTGGTGGTATATAGATGACACTTTCGTCGTCATGAAACGGGACAAGGTTAATGAGTTTTACAATTACCTGAATGAACTGAGTCCACAGATCAAATTTAGTATGGAGATAGAGTCAACATCGGGTAAACTGGCCTTCTTAGACTGCATGACACATAAGGTTGGGGGGAGACTAAAGACCACAGTGTATGAAAAGCCAACCGAGACTGGGGCAGTTTTGAACTACTCATCTGCCCATCCGAAGTCGGTATTCGCCAGTATTGCGTCATCAATGTTTAGGCGTATAAGGGCCCTGTGCACAGAAGAAGCTGATCGAACAGCGGCCCAAATTGAGGTAAAAAACAAACTTCGAGGTAGTGGATATCCAGCCAACTTGATTAGGCGTCAATTGCGAAGGGTGTTGATACCGGTAGAGAAACCCAACAGGGAATGGATCGGGACAGCTGTTATTCCATATAAACCAGGGACATCGGAGGCAATCCGAAGAATTCTAAACATGGCAAACATTAGAGTAGCTTTCCAGAGGGGGAACACTCTGCGCTCTGCATTGGTGCAATTGAAGGATCGCCTCCCGGCAAACAGAACCAGGGACTGTGTCTACAAAATCAAGTGTAATGACTGCACCAAAGTCTATATAGGACAGACGGCCAGGGAACTATACATCAGAGTCGGAGAGCAAAGTAGAAAAATAAATAGGCCGCCGAGAAACGCAGATGGATATCAAGCGTTACTGAAGGACTCGGCAATCGCGGAACACGCACTGGACATGGGACACAAAATCGACTCAGAAAATGTTGAGGGTTTGAGGCGAGGACTATGATCCACGTCACACAGACTGATCGCCGAGACGGTAGAAATCGCCAAGCATCCCAGTGTTAACAGAATAGAAGGCATGGAACTGCCAAGCGTGTGGAGAACGGTTCTTGATCAGTCGAGCTGACACGTGTTGGTGTGCGGTCATCAGAAGAGTGGTCAGCATGTGAATTCCATTTGACCTCAGCCCTCCTCAAATTAAATTTTCGGAGCACTCACGACCCCACAAAGAGCAGGGAAAATCTACCAATGGCAATCGAGGTGAATCATCAACTGAAGCACCCTGAAGTGGAAGATTAACGAACCAAACCCGATCAGAATTAATTTGGACCGCCCACCCCCCAGTTCACCAAAGCGAGATTTTGATATTCAACACTGATCTAGTGTGATAATCTGAAGGGGACTGACTTACTGATTGGTTCCCCGCCTGTCTTATAACCTGGTCAATTTGGTGACCTGTTCACTTGGCCTGATGAAGCTTTTGTATCAAAAGCGAAACGCTGCCCAAAAAAACTACCGACTGTTCACCAAGCTCCTCTAAAACTATGCAGCGCTCCTTTGCTGTTTCACTTTCAGGACGAAGGGAACACCCAGATCTCTTCATACTACCAACAAGCTTCTGTATAGTCAAGTCGATACGAAGAGAAAACGGAAGCCTGAACGACTTCGATCGGAAGTCTGAAAGCTGCTGACATGGCTCTTGGGAAGCGACGATACAAAACGGGACAGAACGGATAGAAATGACAAATTAATCAGTTCATTGATCACCAACTCAAGTCAGAGAGCTGAACTGTGCAGTAAGCACGGGTAACATCGAATTAACTGGACTTGGAGGCCGAACAAGCTGCATCGGTAGCGACTTGAGTCGTGTGCGTGCCGGTCTTATTGAATTTGTCGGCCATCAGCAGATACACAGTGATCCGTCCACGAGAGGTCTGCTTATACGTCTCAGCTTTCTGAGGCTGCGGAGTTGACCAGCGCCGTACGGATTGAACCTATCAAATTGCCTTGACATACTAGGCGATTTAGTGCTTCACGTCTAGAAGTGACTTTCAGTAATCACCATCGTGTTGACGAAATCCAGTCGAACCATGGCTAACTACAGAATGTCATGCTTGTTAGTAACACAGATTCCAGTCTATCCGAAGCGGAAAGTGCCAATTTCAACTAGCATAATCTTTCAATCTTGGTCAGCAAAGTCCCGTACAGCTTTAGGCCCAAAACGGCGCTAGAATTGACTTTCCGTAACCATTGTGTTATAGGCCAGGCTGAATGGCGTTTTATCGTAGCTGGCTGTACGTGTGTCTAGGTTGCTTCTCGTGTGTCGTGCGGATAGAAGACCTTTTGACGCAAGTATCACCTGCCTAGCCTTAACCTCGGGATACCGTAACTGTGATCTCAAATTTATTTTATGCACGTTGTATTGCATTGTTCTGTCCATCGTACTTTGTAAGTAAATCCTCAAGAGACCAAAAAACGCTTCAGGCATTCCGGAGTGCTAAGCCTACAGTATTTTTAGCGTGCACGTTGTATTGCATTGTTCTGTCCATCTTACTTTGTATATAAATACTCTAGAGACCAGAAAAACGCTCCAGGCTTCCCGGAGTACTAAGCCTACAGTATTTCTAGCATAACTCTCTGTAATTATCCGCCTAGAAGTAAAGATGAGTGATTCTTATCACTAGATGACCACATGCTGGCGCCCGGTATGCATCTCGCGAGTGGTGGGAGCCACCAGTTGATCCCATGCAGCTCAGTTGTGCCCACTTGAATCGAAACTCATGGGCGACCTGTTAGAAAGGCTGACGGTTTTTCTAACCCCACCCTCCAGTTCATTTACCGGATTTATTTCTTCGGATTTACAACGAGCAGACAGCTTTCAGGTGGACGGATATGCTTCTCAGTGCAAACCGAATGTGACGTTGTCCATTTTGTGTTAGAATTTATCCGTTTCATTCGATTTATCAGACCAACCCGGAAACGGATACCAGTACGTGTTCTAACTGCCTTTTGGGAGTGGAGTGAGGATTCAGAATGGTTATTCGCTCTTTACTTACTATAAACGCATCGAACGGATTCTCTTCTGACCTACTGTCGACTTTGGTTTATGGATAAACTGTTGCATACCCTATTCCCGAGATCCCGAGGCGAGGTCGGAGAACTAATTCACCGGTGGGCTTTGATAACAAGTAGTATCTTTGGAAATTGAGTCCATCGGAACGTTTTGAACAAACGCCGACAGGTAGGATGCGATCTGTCTAACGTATGACCAACGTTGGCTGAGAGGCTTTTGAAGCTCCTTTAAGCAAAAGACGGAAACATTGGTTGACGTACAGACGCTCAAATCCTCCCTGACTCTATAAATGTGGATAGGCTATAGCTCAGCAGTGAGTAAACTTACAACTTGAGGAAAAGCGCCCCTTAGCCAATCGGCTGAATAGCGCTGGATAGTACAAAGCAGCTTATGTTGCGTTCTATCACGACTGGTCGATGTCGGTCAATTGTCGGTCGATTGTGAAAGACTCTCAGTCGCTCAATTACTCGCTTATCCTCCAAGGGCATGAAAAGGTTCACGGATATTCGCAGCCTGACTTACATAACACACTTTCCGATTTAAGCAAATAGGACGACCTGCTCAACGTTGTTTCCGCGCTGTTAAAGACAAGCAGAAATTTGCAGAGTCTGTTGTCTTTCCCAATCTATCTTCATCTTAACCACGCTGGTCTTCGTCAGTGGTCTAGAATTCGATCTCTTTCATTCCGCTTTCTAACGGCTTACTATGAAAAATTCGATTTCTCTCTCAGTAACACAAAATTAACAAGCATCACTCGGTTGCCCAGATGGTGATTGGCAAAATCTCATTAACTGATGCACTCAGAATGCGTTAATTCACGGATCGAAACAAGACTAACGAAAATGAACCGGCACAGACTGGTACTCCAAAGGTGTACAATGGACATTCGTCCACGACTGTTTATGTTCTTCAAGTGACCGAACGGTAGCTAGCTTTCTGAAATGCCAGATGTGTACCTCAGTATTAATATTCCTTCCGCATATCAACAGGAATTTGGCATATAACTGCATGATGCAACTTGAACCCAAATTACAGCTCTCGTCTTGTTCCTCAGCTACACTTTTCCGTATCACTGCAAGCCAGCAAACCGCTAAAGCACACGAATTCAATTACGCCCGTTTTTATCTGAAAAAAAACTCGTCCTTGATGATGCGTTTGGCTCAGCCTTTTATTAATTTTATTCCTTTGTCTTTACTGTGCCTCCACACTTGACGATGAGGTTTTGATGCCCGTGTGTGTCTATCGATTTATCCCACATCTGCACTGTATGTGTGTATCGGTGTTTTTGTGCGCACGTCTAATCAATTATCTGCCAAATATGGACATAATACACTACTCACAAGGTTGCTGAAAACCTTTCGACAGCTCACGACCACTTTCGCCCTTCTTGGGGCTCACCAGGTGGGCGCATTCCGCGAGTTCCCGTGAACCTTATGTTGGAATTGAACACAAATTGCAGGAAATTAACAAAATATAATCATCTGCAAACAAATTCAGTTTTATGAGAGACTCACCTGGAACCCAGCTGAATCTCTCGTTTGTGATGTTCTTAAGCACCTGAATGTGCTGCACCAGACCGCCTCTACCAGGTTCTCCAATCCCTCCCGACCCTGCGCTGTCACCAATACCCAAGACCAGTACGATGACCAGAGCCACATTCTGACGAGCTAAAATCGCTACACATCCAACCACCAAAGTATTGATCCGATTTTCGTAACTGATGCATAGCAAAACATCAGTGACTGAGATGCTTTATCTGTAGTTGTTTGTCGATGGTACTCTGGAACCGAGGAATCAAACAAACTGGGTCTGCTTGGGTATGCATTCCAGAGAGATCACGTTGCCAGAACTGATATAAAATCAACAGGTGTTCAATGAACCGAAGCATAGATAGCCACCCGAATACCCCACAATTGTTCAATATGTCTGTCTCTTTACCAGTGGTAGGTGTGGATTTACTTAGCGAGTGGTATATTCACATAGATCAGATGACAGTGAGGGTGGTTGCCTGATCCGATTTGAAGAAAACAGGTGATTCCGTCTCGTTGGTGGCGTTAACATCAACCATGACACAGTCACCGATTCCTGTGTGCACTGAGCTGAAGACATCGGCAGGTAATACCAGTTTCTTAGCGGCTGCAGGAATTCAGCACTGATATTTCTTGAGAATAGTCAAAACAGTTGAGTTTACACATTTTTATGCAGATTGGAAGATGATCATATCGAAACCTCACGTCCATTCGATCTCCCTGAATGATGGGTGCTATGTTTCACGTCAGGAAAACTGGTTCTACATCTAAGGCAAGTCATATCAGTTAGAAGTTTATGCGCTTGAAAGACGGCAACTAGTCCTTCATCAGGCGTTTGAGAAACTTATTTGATCGATAAGGTGACACATACGAGTAGTTGACACTCACACGAATCAAACTTCACATTGGCGGAAATATTAATGTTAGGATAACGAATCAAATCATCGGCGTGTCTCAGAACTAGCACATGTGCGAGTTTACCGTCCATTTGAAGGTCAAATGTTCGAATGATGTCACGTTACAAATGCCTACGCCCGTTCACACTACAAACTTTTTGCTCGCCTTTGACGAAATGTAAATCTGTGACTCAAAAAATTAATCTCTGGCTCATGCTGTGTAGACCTTGTGACGGTGCATTCCTAGTTCTTTCAACCAACTTCGCTCAATCCGTTTTTGGACCACTTGGTCTAGTTTGATGAATCTGTTACCACTTGCATCATGTCCCATACTTATAACCTTGACACAGGTCAGACAATGTGTCTGGTTTCATGCCACTGTCAAAACCGAAAGGTCCCATGTGAATTCACAGTCCAGCACAAGGTAGACCAAAAATATAACTACGCGTGCACACTTAAGAAACGGAACTCAGCAGTACCTCAACTGCACGCCGCATCGGTTCTTGGATCTAGCGTCATCAAACTCGGGCTGCGGATAACAAGCAGCAAGTGGGGCGATAATACTGCCAGGGGGGACACTTCCTACATCTCCCCAAAATCATGTATGCTTAATTTTTGTTTACATCGTATTCATATTCATCAGGTGCACTTGGCCTTGTAATGTACTCAACCGTAAGACTTAGACCTTATTAGCCCGGCGTCTATTGACCAGAGCACTAATAACCCCTCATTAAACGCCATAGCCATCGCGCAGTTTACGTTTGATACTTATTGGGCCTCTTAGATCAGTACATGTACTAGAAGATGGTAGGACAGCCCTCGGTGTGATCAGGAAGAGTGCCAGTGTGGGGAACAAAACCATTGCAACCTTATGTGTTTTTTTTCACTTCAAATCCCTGGTCTGGATAGTCGACTTCTCTTTATGTTACATGTGCTTTGTTTCTGCACCTTACTGTTTTGAATTCTGTCATCCTTCGTATTTGTGTTTGATTTCCTTTTACTGTTCCTTCTGTGTCTACACTTCACATGTGAATCTGCAAATGAGGTACTATGTACACTGGACGCATCGGAGGTGAACCCTTGTGATCATCTTTGTCCAGGCCTGATGTAGGCCCCGTGTGGCATGCCAGTGGCTCTAGAACCACCCAGTCTGCCTCAGCCTCCCGGGTCAGTCCCTTGAGCTTACACGGGACGCCAAGCTGGTTGCACAAGCAGCCGAGTGTCCGTTCGGAAACGGATGCAATACCACATATACAAGTGGCCATAACGACGTGGTGAAGTCTCATTCCAGCAGCAATTTGAGCTTGGATCTCGCGCTGAATCTTTAATTGCTGTGCCGGGCAGGTCACCGGTTGGTATTCACAACTGTGGGTTGAAGAGCAGGCTAGAACAGACGAACAGCCAACACACGATTCCATACCATTCAAAAGGCATTTACTAACCGAAACGGGGTTTTGTCATAAACATGAGGAGGTGTTCTATTCAACGTCCACTTGATGGTATGTGTACTTAAGACAGGTGCAAGTCCCTCAACTGGATACGTACTCCTTATTACGGAAAGGTGGTATGCTGAGTACTAGCATACTCACAGACAGAGGGACTACATCTTGAGGATGACAACAAAGTTGGCGCAATAAACGCCTGCTAGCATAATGTTTTTTAAATCTACCCTTCTGTCATATTGCGTAGTGAGCGTAAGACAGATATGTGGCAATGAAGGCCAATGTATCAACATTGGTAAGTGTCTTCACACGCCAGTTCCCCGTAACTTTCCTCCCGAATTGTAGAATTCTAAGCATTAATAAACAGCTTGATGAGCCCAGGTGTTTTAGCCATCATGGTTATCGTGATATATTCATCTTTTCATCCAGCACGTCCGGTATTCTTTGAAAGCAGCCCTGGTGTAACGGTGATGCTACTGATGAGGAGGCACGCGAGTAGTATGTGTTGTTCGTGGAATTTCGCTGTGCGTCTTTTGAAAAGGGGAGATCTGTTGCGGAATTCGTGGAGTCACTTTGTCACATTTGCTTGGATTTAAGCGAGGAATGATTGGAGTCAATGAATCTCCAGGAAAGCTCAAGAAGACGCGTTCGGCAGAAGATGGGTGTCCAGTTTTTGTAAATAAGATGCAAATTAGAGTTTTGCTTCCCTGTTCAGTGGTCTGTAACCGATCGGTCGGCATTTCCTAATAAATAGCTCTGCAGCGAAGGCCTTCTTCCTTTCAGTGGTAGTCGTCATAAGGGCACGATAATCGGGACCTGCAATCTGCGAAAAAATCCGGTACAGCCTCCGTTCAGCCGCCCTTCCCCAGTTATCCGGCCTGAGAAATCACGACAGCTGTATCTAGACATTAAACACCACGTGAATCGATAACGCTTTTCAGCCAGGGATGCAGTACATGCCTGTGCTGTGCTCTAACTGACATTCCAGTAAACTGACGAGTGAATGGATGTTCCTGAGATGTGTTCACTTAAGGTCATTTAACGCTCTACCCCGTGAACCCGTGCATGCGATAAGACTTCAGCTAGACACCTCAGAACTGAGTTCCAAATACTTCGCACTTAGTAAGATTGCCTTACTCCAGTGGACCCGCAGTAGGAGCTGAAACGTGCTCAAAATCACTTCGAAGCAGTTCTATAAAACTGTAAGGGGTGCTCTGATGGCTCTGGAGAGTACCAAAGTCCATTCGGCAGATGACAAAAGTGTGGTTTGTCTCAGCTATGGTCGAAATCCGTAGTTTTGAACCAGTAAAATGTAGAGAGCACTGTGAAAGTTAATATGGCAATTGCAACAGTGAGATACGTCGCTTGGACGGACCGTAGGTGAAGGAAAAACATCGTTGAACACGCCAAGTTTCTTATGGAAATTTTTTTAAAAGCTGTCTAGCTGTGCCAAAGGTACGATTTCCGGACATTATTTCAGGTTCATTGAAACGATTCACCCTGTCTATGAACTGAGACAGGCCGACAGTAAATCAGTTGTGCAGGAGTAATTGGTTTGTCGTTTTTTTCCTGAAAAGCACTACTCATAAGGTTGCTGAATAGCATCGACAGCCCGATGGCCCTTCTGTCCACCACAGGGTACGCCAGGTAGCCACATTCTTTGTACGGTCCCGTGCTAAGGCCATAATCTCAAAGCAAGGAATTGAGTAATTAGTCTAAACGCACAATCTAGATGTCCTATCTGACAGGTAACGTGTAGTCTAATTCAACGACGGACGGTCAGTAATAATTGGGGCCAAACCGAATTCTACGAACTTCACCTGCGTTTGTTCAGTAGTCGCAATTGGGCAGCGAACAATATATTGAATTAAACATGGGCAGACAGTATAGTTACGTAGACTGTGGTTGGCTAGATTGAACCTTGGGCAGCTAGCAACACAGGATGGCACAGAAAAGGGCAGCGTGCTATCGGACAAACGAAGCGGGAAACATGCTGTACAGTTCAAAGTGAGGCGAAATGTTCAACGACAAAACCAAGAAATGAATATGAATAAACCGAATCATGAAAACAGTCAATATAGAAGAACAGTCAATATGGAGTCGACTTTGTATAAAATAGAACAGTTCAGTTTCGAAACTTGAGCAGTCACCGGAAAGGCAACGAATTAATCTGGAGAATAGGGAAACATAACTAATTACGTCACGTAGTTGACAGTCCTTAAGCTTCCATCAATCTTAGCGAGCATACACTCATTTGCAAACTAATTTGGTCTTTCGAGAGACTCACCTGGGACCCACCTGAATCTCTCGTTTGTGATGCGCCTACCTGATGAGCCCCAAAAAGGGCGAAACCGGTCGTGGGCTGTCGATGGATCTTCAGCAACCTTATGGGTAGTGCATTACAAATATATTCCATCAATCTTTCAGTTGAACACCAACTTATACATAAGCGACGAAATGCATCCATGCATTTGCAGAATACATTGTGTTGCACAAGGGTCACCTCATGTTTCAGTTAGCACGGTGTTCGAGATATCACGATACATTTTCCTTACAGGACACAGGGCTGCCGAAGAATTTTCTGCAACCTTATGAGTAGTGAATTAGGAACAGACACAGCATAGTAACAGCTCAATTCCTGGAGAAAGTTCTTCCTGCACACACGTGTTCAAACTTTGTAAAGTCAGAGACAGCAGAGACTCATCCGTAACGCACCAAAAGAGATCACCGCTCAGCCTTCATTCGCAGCTAGGGTGAATTTAATCATGAGGGATCGTCCGGCCTTTCGTCTTTTGTAGTCCAAGGTCAACTGCGTCTTCCAGACTGATCGCTGCTCAATCTGAAAACCTGAAACTCGGATCCGTAGCTGAATCAGCTTGTCTACCAGTTCGACTCACTGCCGCGTGACCCATTCCAAAAGCGAGTATTTTCACCGTTTTTGGCATACCTTCGACACTCAGTAGCGGAGGCCGTGTTCCTCTAAATCACTGACTGGGTGCGCCTCGCCAGCCAGTCAGGTCTGAATGAGCGAAATGTGATTTTGGGAGCCTCGTTCCGAGCTATCGTGACTCCGGTTTGTAGATTCAAAATTAACCGGAGAGATTAGGCTACACACCCCAATCGTCAAAACAAACTTGTCTGATGTGAGCAGTATAGTTTTGATGACGCAGTTCTATTCACCTTACTGGCCACAACTCGTCCTTGTTTTTGGAATCCGGAATGTGGGAGTATGAGGTTTACCTAGCATTGTTGCAGGTAGGAAGTTTTCACTGTGTGGAAGGATTCACCTTGTGGAATAGTTCTTAAATTTTCCATATTCATTTTAGCTCATATGCATGAATACTGTATACAGCAATGATCTGAGCTCAAAGTAATCAAATAACTATTAAATTCTGAGCAACCAAATGGATGCGAAACGACCACTAAAGATCTGCTCTCGTGGATGTCATTACAAAAATCGTCAGTACATGATGCGTAGATGAATCCGGACCCTTGATAACGTTGTCTCCAATAGGCAAACACTGACCGGTAGGAGGCAGTATTGGCGTATTCGTGTTTTTGCCACAATTGCCTCCGTTCATTCATAGATTATTGGTTCATACGCATTCAGTTGGAAAATGATTGACTGCGTCTGTGTAGCGTTCAAACAAGGATAACAATGTGGTTTGAAAATGCTGAAAAATCGAGAAACATGTGTCGTAATAATCTACGAAAATTCGTGGGATTCCTGTAGTTAACTGAACCGCTGTCTGAATGCTGTAGTTGAACGTTGTCTGGGTTGATCACGAGCGCCTGGTCAGCAGTGTGAGTACATGACCACTAGACAGAATGGATCGCCACTCATCTTTCAGTCACGTGAGTCACATCATGTGGTCACGTGTTGAATAGTTCCTCGAGTGACAAGTATTCAGATGAAGCGCTCAGGAAACATGAGATTTTTTCATGTTG